GAAGCTATTCGTGGGCGAAAAGTTTTCCCTTATTGTCCTTTCCTGCACACATGTGTCCCTTTTCCATTACTTAAGCAAGGCTGCCAGTGTTTTTTTTTTATATCCAGCTTGGCCCCACAACCAACAAGTGATAGAACCAACTTTCTCTTCCTTGAAAAATAAAAAGGTACAATTCCGCGACTGGTTTTGTCTCGTTTTCTCAATGCCAATGTTAATGTACTCTTGAAAAAATCGTAAAGAGCAACTGTAAATTCTCGTTCAACTGGACACTACTGTAAACCCAAGGTTTCCAGTGGGCGAATCCAACGCTCTACTACTAGGCAGTGGCCACAACAGATTCTTAATACTCACCACTGTGGATGTTCTCTTCGCTCTTGCAGTCCACGTTCACTCCAATGTGCAGAAGCTTAGTGACCGCTCGTGTGTTGCCCTCAACGGCTGCTTCCAGCAACTGCAGAGATCATATTATAATCAAAACTAAGCGCAAAACCCACCAGGTTTAAATGTGGATCAAATTTATCACAGTATTAATTAATCCAGTTCCATTTGCATACTAGTGGCTTCCTTCTGTACCTGTGTTACTATTTTTAAACTAAATTATATCTGTACAGCACAAGAGAAATATTTGAATTTGACACTCATTTGCTTATAAAGTAAATTAAAGGGGGGGGGGTTAAGATCTTATAGACGATTTTTTTTTAAGAGAGTTGGTGAAAAAGAAATGCAGAGAGGAACCTGAGACTGTTCGCTTGTGGAACAGGCTTCTTCAGTCAATACACAAGGATGCACAATCAAATTGTACAAGCGCAGTCAGGTGGGTGGACAGGTTAATGAAGTCACTGTGGGGTGAACCAAGAGATGCGATTACTGCAGGCTTCCTACAGGGACTTCTGATCTGTTTATGCAAGAATAGTAGGCCAGCAGGTATAGCCAAACTAAAAGCTGCTTGATCTGTTCAGGTAAATTTTGTGTACAGATTAGCGAAGCTATTAGGCATAAGCATCTTATTTTTGTCCATTTTCTTTACGACCAGCTGGACAGTCTTCAAAGACAAGGGTGAAGCTATACATATCACAGAGGTTATTCATGAAAGTCCTGCAGGACTCATGAATAACTCATGAGTGATACACTGGGACTTTGCTTCACCAATGATGTCTTAAGGATGCCCAGCTGGTCAAAGGAAATGAATAAAGCAAGTCACAGATGGCAATAAGCTAAGCAAATGTGCACGCAAAATACAATTCAATAAAATCGAGGTGGTTTCAGTCCAGCCAACCAGTAAAACTCGTCTTGCATAAATAGGTCATCGAAATGACTGATAGGCCTCCTGCGCTGCCTCCGTCTCGCAGTTCATCCACACAGCGACCTCTGTATTATGTGTACAAAAAATAGTTTCAAAATAATTAAACTATAATATAAAAGACAGATGATTATTACTGAATTCTCCAGTATCTTATCTTTGCCTTTTTGATGTGAACTCCATCAGCACAATGAAACTAGACCAATAAAGGTAGCAAATTACCTTCATTTCTTGGTCTCTGGCTAAATTACAGAGGAAGCTGGCAACCTCCTTGTTGCACTCCCGCCTGGCGAGATCTTCAGCTTTAAGTCCCTTTCTTTCTTTCATATTGATGTTTATCCCTTCTTTCACCAACCATCTAACAGCCTCAAGGTTGCCGTGATCTGCCGCAAGGTGGAGCGTTGTCTCCCCGTTGCTGGTAAGGGCCTTCAAGTTGTATTTCTTAGTTTGTAGGTACTTCAGCACTGGTACATACCCACCAACAGCTGCCCAGTGCACCAAATGACGATCTGAAGAAATTTGATTAGATTTTCAATATTTCTTCCCATTTTCTTTAGTTTAAACACTATTGGTTTGTAGTTAATACTGTCATGTTCGGCAGTAATGTAATTCAAAGTACTAAATACTTAAAAGGGAAGTACTAAACCCATAGAGGTCATAATTCAGAGTGTGATAAAATTATGTAGTTTGTTTCTATACATCATTCTTTGTAAATGCATATTATAAATAAAGCAGAAAATTACAAAATATATAGGTGTATTTTTTGCTGGGTATATAGGTTTTGAACTTCCAACCACAAAAATAAAAATATCGGTAAACGCCTCAGTTCTGAAAATCTGAAAAGATGTCATTAGTAATATCATTAAACGTTAAACCCGAGAGAGCCATACAGGGCTGAATGAATAGGTGCGATCATGCCAGATTCTGATCCTTATTAAGCTCTGGTGCCCCCCTTATACAAGCGAGTGATTATTACCGCGAGTAAAGGAAGTTTTGATTGCTAAGGGCTTTGACTTTAGCAGGCTTAAGTGGGCGTAAATAGGAGCGGAGGCAAGTGGTTTTTATGACTGTTGTTGGGAGTGATCAAGTTACCATATATGAAGGGAGTCTGGGAACCTGTTAGCCGAACTTAAGTCCTGGAGGTAAAGAGTACACGACTGCACTATGAAAGAGGTTAGGAAACCATAATACAGAGTCATCTGAACTGGTGTTAACACGCTTCTGACTAGACAGTGATTGAATGAATGATGGAGAAAGTGTTTCCTCTTTCGGGGTCACCCGAAAGCACTGTGCCCGTAGGGGTTTTACAGTTGCTGAGAATAAGAGATGAGATTGTATCCAAGAGGGGGTAGCTCCATTTTCATGGATTAAGAGCTCAAACAAGGAACCCCTTAAATGGTTATAAGAGTACTATGGAGACACTCCCACATAGATAATGCTGAACGATAAATGTGTGATAAGGCGTCATACCTCTATTATCGGCAATAGCAATAAACGCTGCAATAACAATCAGTTACCAATCAATGATAAAAATGATAAACTTACCAATTCCTTCTTCCTCTGTGGTAGGCATGTCTGTGAGGAGGAGCTGAACAATGTCTAGGTGACCCGCCTGGACAGCTAGTTGTGTTGCAGTCATCCCTGCAAGGGGAATAAGACCACGTTTTACCAACAAAACACTAGAGACTTGTTCCTCAGGATCATACTTATGGCTTTCACCTTTTCTTTTTCACTACTTCATAACAGTCCGTGGCAGGCATATGCACTCAAACTTGTATTTCTAATTTGTGGGGTAGTTGTGAATTGAGTATGTTCATTATATATTAGTTATCCATCGCTTCGGAGGTTAACATTAAAAGTAGTTAACATGGACTCCTGAAGACCATTCCTGTCCAGCACAAACTCGCAATGACAAAACCATGAAGGACACTGAGGTCGCCCCTGAGGAAGAGAAATTAAAATTCACGAAGGAATCAATCCTAGGTAAGGTACAAGGAGCACACAGTTGATGCTACAAAAAGCGTGCCCAAATATTTGTAGCCTTAAGTGGTGTCCGGGGCGCTTGGATTTGGTAGGCAGCCGGCATCAAGCCTGTAACCTCGGCGAAATTCACTCAAAATGCATTAGTGCAAGGGCACACATTCCCTCTTAAGGGAATTCACACATTCATTATCTTATTGCTACTTTTGAACGGAAGCGTTGCACTTGAAAGGCGGCCATGTTGCTTCAAATCAAGATCCAGCCAACGAGGCTTAATGATTAGGAAGTACAACTAGACAGAACATTAATACCACCAAACTGACGTTCACCAAGAGACTATTTACTCTCCTTATTCTAGGTACTGTGTCACTATTTCATGAAAACTTATTTAAATATTTTGTGGAGAGGATGCTTTCTACAGGTCTGCCATTCAAACGAAATAAAACTATGTAAAGTAAAAGGACACAAATGCAACTAATGTAACATTTTATTGTGGCAACGTTTCGCTCTCCAGGAACTTTGTCAAGCCGATACAAAGCTACTGGAGAGCGAAACGTTGCCACAATAAAATGTCACATTAGTTGCACTTGTCCCCTTTTACTTTACATATTGTCGGTAATTCTACCAACATTATTACGAAATAAAACTAATAATAAGCGAGAGCGAATCAGAAAAGAATGCGGAGATTTTTGCATCTTCGGTCACCAGTCCTGGATCAGCAAGCAGTCTCCGGTAGCAGTTCTAACATGCACAATTTCCAGTTATAGTGCTGTGGTGCAGCAGTCACCACAGTATTGTAACTGGCAGGAATGTTAGAGCCAAAATGACTTCTTTCCTATTCAAGAAATAAATTTTACCAAAAGAGAGATATGCTTGATATTTAAACTAGACTCTCAGGAAAGCTCCTAGGAGAACTATCGCCAGCCCCCTCCAGGAAGTCTGCTCCCAGCCGAAACAGAGGAGACAAACCTCACTAACGTAAGGTAACCCAACAACAGAAAAGTGGCCTTACATAGACACCCGTGATTATCTAAGATATACCTTTGTTGTAATCTTTTGCATGGATAAATTAATAAAAGTATTTTCAAAGTCAGAAGTCTCAATGGTGTCATGAAACACTAAGATAATTAAGCTACGTCACAAGGGTTTCACATAACCTTACACACTCCTCAGTGGCTAACCTCCTTTAGAAAGACTGATTTCATATGGAAGAATGAGTTGAAGCGCATCATTATATTCACAGACCTAGACCCGCAAGCTTGGCACTGAGATGGAAAATATGTTAATGGTTAGATTAACGATGAAAACTGCTGTTAAACTCTTAAGATACTAACGAGTACTAATAAGCGTGATAAGTTCGTCAGCGTGAATTTCCAGCACGAAGCGGTGACAAAGTAACTAGAAGCATAGCATTTTACTTGCAAGCTAATACTTAAAAAAAAAATGATAAATTATTATAATATTCACGGGGAAAGGGGGGGGGGCGTTAAACCCGTAGAGGTCATACAATGCTTGGTGGAACGGAAAGCATTCCAGCTCGATTTCAAGGAATTGGAGCCCAAATTTAATTAATTAAATCAAGAGCCCCTCCTTAAGCAATAATTTCAGGGACTGGTAAATGAAAACTACACTTAAGATGGAGTGTTTGCATGCACACTTAATGCATGCGCATACATAATGCATTAACACACGCACAACACATACAACTACTTGGATACCAACCTTTGGCAGTCTTAGTATCGAGGATGACTCCAGCTTGCAGCAAGACCTCCAGAAGCTTCTTGTGGCCAGCGTCGGCCGCCAGGTGAAGTGCTCTCCATCCTGACGGTAACAAAACAAAGTGAGGGTCAGAGCATAACTGCTTAACCAGGGTGATTAAGGCCCAAATGTACCATATGAAGTATCAACAATAATTCTGAAATATGGGTTTCAGCAAACCCTCAGTGTATATAGACTGGCATACACCTCACACTATTTATTCTCAATCATACAGCACAGCCTATTACTATGAATTTATTTTCATTCGTACAGTTCAGGAAACAGTTCGGTTGCCGCCTGTTCGAAGCTTCAATTAACCCTGTTTAGTTGGTTTGTTAAGTTTAAAGTCTGTCGCTCGCACTAGGGTTATTTAAGGCGCATTAATCCCCAGTAAACTAACTAAAAAAATAAACTCAAAATTTATATACGCTGAGAGATACATTTTCTCGGAGTGAAAACAACTAATGACAGAAGCCTCAGGAATCTCGTCTGTTCAAAGTAATACCAAACCATAACCTAGTTATTGTCACCACCCGATCAGAGCTCTACCGACCCTTCAAAGAGCCCTTCATGTCAATGAAGGGCTCTCGATATCTCAAATTCACATAAATTATATTCATCGTATTTGTTTTACTTTGAAATGTAAATCTGTTAACCTAGTTTACTCTCGTTAATCTAGATTATATTTACATTAGAGGGGATCAAACGCGTTTCGTTATTCTAGTATAATACTGCGCTCTTTTGCGTTTTAAATGGGGGTGGAAATTCTGCTGTCACATTTTTTTATGCTCTATCTTTTAACTGGATGGCCCGTAAGCCAGCTGGACTTATATATATATATATATCGTGCCGAATAGGTAAAACTTCAGATTTTGGCTTAAATAGCAACGCTCTTCTTGCCGAATAAGACAACCGAAAATTTGTGTATGCAATGATTTCGCAAAAATCCTTCTGAACCTAACGAAAAAAATATATTTCATTGTGTTTGTTTATTATTAAATTAATGTAAACTTATCCAAAATATATTTAGTTAATTGGGCTAAATTAAATTGCGTTTATTATAATAAGATAAGGTAAATTTTCTATGGTTCTTTTGGTATATACGTTATTAATTTTTATACATTGACCTCATCGCTTTATTGCCGTGAGGTTGTGCTGCGCACACGCTCCTGGTTGAGAGGCCTTCCTGCGCAGATTGATTTTCACAAGATGGCGCAGACTATCAGAAGGCGCGTCAACACTGTGTGCTTTGATTTAGTGCGGGGTGTAGTTACGCCTCAGTCCGCACAGGTGCTTCTACCTTTGATTATTCGCGACACATACGGCATTGCTGATCAAGATTTGTATGGAGTATCGCTCAACGGGGCTTACCGAATATTCGTTAAGCTACGATCGACGGCAGTGTATGAGCGCCTGGTGGAGCAGTATCAAGATGGCTGTGTGGACGTAAACTCGGCAATACGAGTTCGTTTAATTGACGTGTCGCGACACTACACTTGGGTGAAGGTACGCAACGTGCCTTTCGAAGCTGACGAGGCAGATATACGGAACGTTTTTGAACGTTATGGTACTGTGCATCTGGCAACGGCAGGTACCTGGGTGGATGGGGCGTACGCCGGCTGGCCGGAGGGTACGTTCAACCTAAAGATGACGCTGAGGCATCCCATCCCGTCGTTTGTCATCCTGGACGACTTTGGGACGCAAGTGATGGTGTATTACGCAGGGCGGGCGCAAGACCTGCAGGCTATGTGGTGCTTATGACCTTTATGGCAGCACAGTGTGAGAGGCAGCAGCAACGACAGGTTGCAGACAGAAGGACGGAGCGAGGGCCTGACCCGAAGGCGGGGCCTGCCAGCGGGACGCCTGTAAAGGGCCATAGTTCGTCTTGGAGCGAGGAGGTGGAGAGAGAGTTCCCGACGGTGGGGTCGAGCCCATCAATGCCTGTAGAATCTACAGTCTCCGCTTTGGTGGAAGGGGAGACCAAGTTGAGTGGAGGAGAACGAGCAGAGGATGTGGCTTTGGAGCAGTTGACGGAAAAGTTTTGGAGACGAAGAGAGCTGGAGATGATGTACAATCGGTGGTGGGACCTGAGGAGAGTGAGGACGAGAGGAGAGACAGCCAGCTGACTGCAGGTGCCTCTTCTACGGGAATGGTGACCGTGGTCGAGGTGGGCGGCGGAGGTGCATTGTGAGGCATCCCCGACCAGACCATGGATGCAGAGAGTGTTTCGGCGAAGAGGCGGCAACGCACTCTGATTCCGATGATGTCTTGACCCCGGCGCAAAGACCGGGGAAGAAACCGTGGGCTGATGTGGTGAGTGGAGGCGCCACAGGTGTGTCCGGTCAGGTGTTCGACCGGGGAGGGAATAGAGCTCACTGTGGTGAGCATGGTGGGAAAAATAGGAAGGCTGGTGACGTGTCTATGAAAGGAGTTACAGGGCAGCGTGTAAAACCCTTCAAGAAGGTTTCAGGTGTATGACTGTGAATGTAAATGGGTTGTGTATGAATGTGAAGCGTTTGTGGCTCCAGGGGTTTTCTGAGGCGTCATGCCATATATATTGTATTCATGCAGGAGCATAACTTTAAGACGGTCGGGATTGAATGTGACGGATATCGTGTGTTTGTGGCATATTCGGACCGTTTGAAAGGTGGGGTTGGAATTCTGATTCGGGAGACAAGCCCGTTTGTTGTAATTAGATGTGAGGGAGGGAGAGGAGGGTAGGGTACTCCGGGTAGATGGATGGTGGAGAGGTGAGCGACTGCAGTGGTTTGTGTGTATGCGCCGGCGGAGCGTGATGTACGGGTGAAGAATGAATTTGTGCGTGATGTTTTGGTTTATTATTTGAGATCTCTTCCCTCGGTAACAATCGTGGGCGGTGATTGGAATTGTATAGTACGTAGAAAGGATGTAGGAGCCACGGGGGCAGGGTGTTTTTTGGTTAGCCTAAGGGATCTTTTGCTGGGCGTGGGGTTAAGGGATGTTATTGGAGGTGGGGACCTAATGGTTGAGCATACGTTTCATAGACAGGGATACGCGGCCAGGCTCGATAGGTTATATGTGACGAGAAGTGTGCGAGTGGATGTGTGTGCGTACGGTGGAAGCTGTTTACACGGATCATAGAGCTGTTTATAACGGACTTGACTTGGGCCAGCTTACCTAAGAGGTATCCAGGGTATTGGAAGTTAAATGTGAGACTTCTTGGGTGTGAGGAGGCGGGGTTAGATTTAGGACAATGTGGGAGAATTTGTGGGGAGAGGGTAGGGATTGGGTGACTTGCTGGGGTGGTGGGATGGGGTAGCTAAGGAGAGGATCCGGCGGTTTTATGTGCGATGGGGAAAGTACCAGGGTTGGATGACGTACGGGTTGCAGCAGTATTTCGAGGGTAGGTTGCAAAGTTGTTATGAGAGGGGCGTGCAGGCAGGGCAGTATCCCATGGAGGAAATCGAGTTGTTAAAAGGAAGGATTCGTGATTTGCAGAATGATAGATTTGATGCGGTGAGAGTGCAGGGTGGAATTGAAGAGGCGGTGTGGGGTGAACCGACCATCGGCCTGTGTGTTAAGGGGACAGAGGCAGCGACGTATGGCTATGGAAATTGATAGGCTGGTGGTACATGAGGACTTAGGTGGATATAGGGCGGGACATGAGTTAAGAACAACGGAGGCAATGAGTGATTACGTTGATAGGTGGTTTGGAAAAAATTTACTGAGTGTAGGGGTGGATGGGGAGGCTTTCGGGAGGTTGGGGGAGAATGTATCTTGTGTGCTAAGTAGCAGTGATCGCATGGCGTTGGGGGGGGATATTGAAGAAGGGGAGGTGTGGAGGGCTTTGGAGGGGATGGCACGTGGTAAGGCTCCAGGTCTGGATGGCTTGCCCTGCGAGTTTTATGTGAGCCATTGGAATGTGTTGAAGTCCTTCTTAGTAGAACTAATGAAACGATGAAAAGGGAGGGGAGGATGGGCAGGTTGCAAGGAACTGCGGTTGTGGTTTTAGTGCCAAAAGGTAAGAAACAGGACACGGTGCGGGACTTTAGGATAATATCATTGCTGTGTGCTGATTATAAGATTTTTGCAAAAATTTTAGGAAATAGGATGAAGTGTGTGGTGGATAGAGTGGTTGCGAGAGGACAATATGGTGTGTCTGGGAGGACGATGTATGACGGGCATAGTATTATAAAGAATTTTGTGGAAGGGTCGGGAGGGGAGCGGGGGGAATGTGTCTTAGCGTTAGATTGGCAGGCGGCATATGATAGTGTAGAACGTGAGGTATTGTGGTACATATTAAGGAGGCAGGGTTTTGGGGAGGAGGTGGTGCGTTGGGCAGAGACATTGTATACAGGTGTGGGAGTGTGTGTACAGGTAAATGGGAAGTTGGGGGAGTGGGTATCCATGGGTCGGGGTATTAGGCAGGGTTGTCCCCTGTCTCAATTGTTGTTTGCCTGTTTAACAGACCCTTTCTATAGAAAGGTGGAAGCGTGTATGGAGGTGGATTGGGGAGTAGGAAGTGGAGTGCAGGGAATAATAGGGTATGTGGATGACACGACAATACTCGTGCGAACGCAGAGGAGTTTTACGTGCGGTTGGAGATGTTATTGATAATTTCGCGGGGGTTACCGGGTTAAGAGTTAATGTGGAAAAATCAAAATTACTGGTCTTAGGAGATTGGGTGGGAAGAGAGAGTTGGGGAAGGAATGTACGTTGGAATATGGTGGACAGGATAAAAGTGTGTGGAATAGTGTATATGCGTAGTGCGAGAGAGGCGAGGATGGTTAATTCTGGACTTGTTGTGGATCGAATGGTGGGGCGATTGGATGGGTTGAGACCAACTCATTTGACAGTACATCAGCGTGCGATTGTTGTGAATGTGTTGTTATACAGTAAAGTCTGGCACGTGGCTGCTGTATATCCGTTAGCAGGTCCGGATGTTACGAGGCTGTTAAAGAGGGTTTTCCATTTTCTTTGGGGTTCCGGGTGTGAATGGTTGAGTAGGAGTGTGGTTACTTTACCGGTCAACAGAGGAGGATTGGGGTTGATTGATTTACGGTTAAGAGTCAAGTGCATTTATTTGAAGTGGGGGTTACGCCGTGTGCGGGGTCATGCAGGGAGGGGCGTGAATGGCTTGCATGAAGAGGTGCGAATGTGGTGGGGAGGGTCGGAGATGAAAGTGTGTGAAGACGTGTTGCGGGCGTTGCTGCATGTACGGGACCCTAATAAAGTTCGAGTGGGTGTTTTTTGAGCGTGTTGTAAGGGCGAAGGTAGTCGTGAAGGCTGAGAGTATCTACCCTATGTATGCGTGGAAGGATATATGGGAAAGATTACGGTTGATGCGCGTGCGTCCAAATGTGCGAGAGGTATTTTTCCGTTTTCTCCATGGTGTACTGCCGTCGGGTGCTGCACTTAAGGAAAGAGGGTTGATGGTGGAGGGCGCGTGTCGGGTGTGCGGGGATGAGGAGACTGCGTTTCATGTAGTGTATTTTTTGTGATAATTTGGGGAGTATCAGGGAATGGATGGGTAAGGTTCTGAGGACAGTGGGAGGAGGCGGGATATTAGTATTGAGGGCGTTAAGTTTGGACGTGGGAGGCGTCGAGGCCCCTGTGCAACGTGCAATCACGTATATAATTGCGGATTTTGTTTTTGTATCCTGGGCAATGAGAAGGAATGGGGATTGGGAGGTGCGCAAAAGGGTGTTGGCGGGGACCATTTATAGAACGTTGTGTTATAATCGGGAAATATATGGAAGTCGCTGGGACCAGGCTTTTTCAGCAGGGTACCGTAGTATGAGTGTGAGAGCATTGTTAACGTTGTGAAAGGGAGGGGGGAGTGAATTTCAGGGGATGGAACGGGCTTGTCTCCGGGGTTGGGTATGCACAACAGCTGGTTTACTGTGTGTATCTGTGTAATGCGTGGTTGAGGAAAATGTGGTTGTGCGAGTGGATGTGGTGGTGAAGTTATATGTGTTATAGATGTCTTAAGTCAGAGTCTACTGCCTTCTTTCTTTGTTGAAGTACTTGATGTACCTTTCGGCTATGGCCTGGCAAACGGGGTTTTATGTGTTTGTACTGAGCATTTTATTGCTATATTATATAATGTGTATAGCCTGTAATGAGTGCGGAATGCTTATGGCTATTCTAGTTTTGTGGCTGACTCGTAAGACTTGTGGTAAGGCGAGTATGTGTGACTGTAGGGAACTTATGTACTGGGAGTTAGGTGAGTAAGAGTATGTACTTTGTTTTATCATGAGATTGTGATGTAGGTTCTTTCGGTTATCGATTATTTGTGTTGGATGTGAGGTAACCGATATATTTATATATTTATCATAATATTCTTCTTATTGTATTGTATAGTGCATTGGCAATATGTCCCAGTATATTATGTAAATAGTGTATACCCGAAGGGATTATGGTTTTATTTATATTATTGAACCTGCTACAGGGGTCACCTACATGTTATTTTTCTTGTTGTTGTTCTTGTGTACATAGGGTTAAGATTGCCCATCTTCTTAATGTTATGTTTTGTCACAAGCGATATTTTCTAGTATAATTGTGTAACCTCTTGTGTTTGTTAATATTGTGTTTGTTATTTGCTATTGTACGTTCTGAGAGATTGTTTCAAAATGTGTTTATATACAATGTGTATCAACCCTAGTTTAAGGGGTTTTTATGTTAAGCTATGTATTGTATTTTAAATAAAAAAAAAAAAAAAAAAAAAAAAAAAAAATACCAAACCATAACCTAGTTATTATCACCACCCGATCAGAGCTCTACCGACCCTTCAAAGAGCCCTTCATGTCAATGAAGGGCTCTCGATATCTCATATTCACATAAATTATATTCATCGTATTTGTTTTACTTTGAAATGTAAATCTGTTAACCTAGTTTACTCTCGTTAATCTAGATTATATTTACATTAGAGGGGATCAAACGCATTTCGTTATTCTAGTATAATACTGCGCTCTTTTGCGTTTTAAATGGGGGTGGAAATTCTGCTGTCACATTTTTTATGCTCTATCTTTTAACTGGATGGCCCGTAAGCCAGCTGGACTTATATATATATATATATCGTGCCGAATAGGTAAAACTTCAGATTTTGGCTTAAATAGCAACGCTCTTCTTGCCGAATAAGACAACCGAAAATTTGTGTATGCAATGATTTCGCAAAAATCATTCTGAACCTAACGAAAAAAATATATTTCATTGTGTTTGTTTATTATTAAATTAATGTAAACTTATCCAAAATATATTTAGTTAATTGGGCTAAATTAAATTGCGTTTATTATAATAAGATAAGGTAAATTTTCTATGGTTCTTTTGGTATATACGTTATTAATTTTTATATTAACATAAATGAAAAAAATATATCTTTAAACGTATAGGAGAAAATTTTAGAAAAGACTTAATTTTAAACGAGTTGTTGCTAACGGACCAATTTTACCCAGTTAGGGTGACCCGAAAAATAAGAAACACTTTCATCACTCCATCACTGTCTTGCCAGAGGCGTGGCGTTACTATAGTTCAAAAACTGCGACATATCTCCACCCCTCCTTCAGAGCGAGTGCAAGCACATAGTTCCTTGATAATGTGAGAAATCACGAAAGCTCTTGGAATTCTACTATTTTTTCACAGTGGTTATTCTGCATATTATAATATAACCTACTTACTGTGATCTTATTTGCATATATATATATATATATATACACTGTGACTAGCCAAAGACTCGAACCCATGTTGTTTTGGCCCGCCTCACGGTGAGCGAAAACTACACGTAGGTTAAAGCGTCATGTGGTTTTCGCTCACCATGAGGCAGGCCAAAACAACATGGGTTCGAGTCCTTGGCTAGTCGCATTGTTGTTATTGATCAATACTACTCATTCGTGGGTACAAATATATATATATATATATATATATATATATATATATAATATATATATATATATATATATATAATATATATATATATAATATATATATATATATATATACTACAGAAAGAGAGAGAGAAGAGAGAGAGAGAGAAAACATAACTTTACACTCAACAATAATCTTACCTTCCTGACCCTTCAATGTACTGCCAGCATTTACGTTCACTCCTTCCTCTATGAGTTTTCTTGACAGAGTCGACCATACCGCAGGCGGCAGCCCGCAGGAACTGCTCCTATGAACAGCAACACTGGTGGTTAGTTATTCTGTACGTGGCCTATCTCACTACCCCTCTCCTCATTTCCTTGACATCAGCAATACCTCCACTTCCCACTCACTCTATCCCCTTCCCGAGAATACATTTCCAGAAATTCACCTCAGAGCCTTTGCGTCGAGGAAACTCCACTACGCCTTGACTCTGGCAGCCTTGGCCATCTGCAGAGGGCTGAAACCGTCTCTGTTGATGACGTGAATCAGCGCCCCGTTTTGCACCAACCACCTAACATGCCTCTAGGTTACCGTTGTCAGCCGCCAGGTGCAGCGGTGTTTGACATGTCAGGCACGGAGGCCACCGTTATGTCACATCCATAATCCTTCAGCACACGTAACACCGGCACGTGACCTCCGAAAGCTGCCCAGTGGACACCCTCGCGACCTGACAATTGAAGGAGAAAGTGATGAAAGAAGAGTTATGGGACTGCTGAATGAAACAAGCAACACCTGGGTATCTTTACTGATGATACGTTTCTCCAGCCACTGGTTTTTTATTTAGTATACTAGAGACAGTAAAAAATATATCAAGATATTATAAATTCATTGTAAGATTCCAGAAGAAAGATATCTCCAAGCTATGAATTGCCAGAAATTCTGTGCCTGAAAATAGTATTTTCATAAGATGTACATTCTTCTTCACAAGAAATATAAAATATATATATATATATATATATATATATATAATAAATATATAATATATATATATATATATATATATATGCAATAAGATCACAGTAAACAGGTGATTCAAAATATGCAAAACAACCACTCTGAAAGAATAGAAAAATTCCCAAGCGCTTTCCCTGACTACTCACATTATCAAGGAACTATACACTCATAGTTCCTTGATAATGTAGTAGTCACGAAAGCGCTTGGAATTTTTCTATTCTTTCAGAGTGGTTGTTTTGCATAATATATATATATATATATATATATATATATATATATATATATAATATATATATATATAATATCAAAAATCTTTCTCACACCTACCTTGAGCTACAGCTCTTGGGTCGATGCCCAGTTCAAGAAGCTTCTTCACTACTTGAGCGTGTCCTCCCCAACATGCCAGGTGTAGAGTCTGCAGTCCTGTGGGCAGAGAGGACAACGTACTCACACACATCTGCTATCACCCAACTTATAAATAACACGAAATAAAGTGTGGATGAATGAAATAAAGAATGTAGATGGATGATGCAGAAACAAAACTGAGAACCCCACAGGTGTGAGGCCACAGGTGTAATACCTGCATTAAAGAATATTGCCTGTGCAAAGGTAGTATTAGGAGAAAGTGTTAAAAACGTGTGGATCAGTGGATGGTTCAGGATGGAGCGCAACTTGTCTAAATCTTCCTCTTCTAAGTACAGTGTGGAAAATTTTTAATAATTTTCATGTACTTTGTGTAATAACTGAAGGGGATAATAGTGTTCATAAAATAGTGTAGTTGTGTATCTTTACTGTGACTTTTAAAAGATCTTAAGTCACATGAGAACCCGGCTCTCTAATTTCCTTATTTATTGTAATCAGTTAAGTAAAATATAATCAATGTAATTTAGAAGAAATTAATATTCTGATAAAGAAAATGTATCATACACCCAGAAATGTTAATGAATCTAAATAAATGTCTTTACCATATATTTCACGTAAGACTTTCTATTACGATAGTGGTGTATGTGTACTGACCTTCTTCCCCTGGGCTGGTGCTTCTTGAAGTGAGGTCAGCTCCAAACGCCACTAAGGTCTCCACCTGCTTCAGCCGACCCTCAGCTGCTGCCTTCACCAGCTGCAGTGGAATAATGAAACTTGTTACAAACATATGTATTTTAGCACAAGACTCGTTTCCCAGTAAAACAGAGCGACCCAAAGATGAAAATACATTCACCATTAATAGCACTGTACGCACCTTTTCAGTGGTGCACAGACTAGCTTAACTGCAACATTTACAATAATTTTTTTAAGTGCAGGCATTGTACTTCCCACCTCCATAACTCAAGTCTAAGTAACTGGTTTCCATGAATCATCCCTTTATGTGGTATGACTTGTCAAATAATAACACGACCGTAAACAACTCACTGAACGGAGGGATCGAACCAGTGTACTATCTACCGCGCCATGCCGGCCTAATGAAAGTCATCCAACCGGGTGTATTTCTATACACACTAGGAAGATTTGCATGGGCCTCACTGTGGCCACAGTGCAGGTTCTTACAGGCGAATCTCACACCAACATGACTGTGGAGTGCTCTAGTTCAAGTCTCCTCACAACCGGCTTTGTAGGGACTTGCAACATTTAGGGATCACGTCTCACACTCAAATAAATGTGTTGGCACCACCATATTCTGAAACATTTCCCTTTTATTTATTCATTCACAAACTTCTTTTAATAGATTTTTTAACATTTCGGTTACCTTCTCTCCATCAATTTTCCGTAATAAACTCATCTTTTATATTTATATGCTGACATAGCTCCACCCAAATTACTTGATGCTTCTTCCTTACTCCCTGCATTCTCACTTTCAATCGTTTTATCTCATACAATTTCTCTATTCCATTTCCACTTCCCTTTGAAATCCTCTTCACCAAGTGATAAATGATGAGGGTATTTGTAATTACGATCAATAAACATCTTGAATACCTAAATTTAATTAGAAAAAGTATCAAGAACAAATTGGCACAATACCGTAACTGGAACAATACACAAATAACTCGTCAATGGTCCAAATCGGACCGAAATGTCGTCATAAGCTTCTTTCTCCTATGTGCGGCTTATTTGTGTAGAAAAAATACGATTAAAGAGATGGTCAAAAATTTAGTTTACAACTGCCTTACAGTAAGGGAAAATTCTCGAAACACCGAACTTAGGAGAGAAACTTCAGTTGTGACTTAACAATGCCCAAGACGGACTGAAAAGTTGTCTTGTGGTTCTTCTCCCAGGTGCAAGTTTCTGGTGAATTGTTCCAGTCACAGTACTGAGAATTTCTATTCAGTATGGCATAAACCATGGTCGTTACTTTGTTGTTTAATTCCTGTTTGAGACTCCAATTCTGAGCAGCTGTGGCATCTTCTGGAGTATACAGGTATACACCATCCAGCTTAAACATGGTGTCAGTTAGTTTGGGATAGAGAGAACCAGTTTTCATGACGTCAGTGTCTCTAGCTGTGGTGGCTGACGGAGCTGCTTGTGCGCAACATTCAGCACCAACACTGAAAGGCTCCGGCTGCCCACCACATTCATCACCAGAAAGAGATGAATGCTCTGTTTCTGCGTCACTAACTTGAGGCGAATGATTCGATTCTGCGTCTCTATCAAGGGGTGAATGCTCTGAGCCTTCATGACAAATAACAGCTGAAGGGTTTGGCTCCATATCACAACTTCCAGCCATTTCTGAAGGCTCTGAATTTATACCGCTGCCGTCTTCACTAGGAGCATCAAGTATTAAAGCCTCTCGTTCTACATCTCTATCAACAGCGGTGGGTAGAAGCCCTGTTTCCATACTAGTGCTAGCAGTCACCAGAGCTGAAAGCAACGTTCGTACACCCCCGACAACAGCAGCAGGCGATGGTCTACGTTCTGTATGATCACTATCAGCAGTGAGAACAGATGGAAATCCTTGCTGTATACTCCCAGCATGAGCAAGAATGGATGAAGTCCCTTGTTCTGTCTCGTCATCACCACCATTAAGAGCTGAAGGTCCTTGTATACCTTCACCATCAGTATGAACAGATGAACGACCCTGTTCTGTATCACCATCATCAGCAGCAATGGAAAGAGATGAAAGATCCATATAAGTAGCAGTGGAGAAACCCGAAGGTTCCGATCTCGTGTCGGTAGAATCATCCTTATATCCTGCTCCGCTCTCAGCAGGATCACACACTACGTTTTCTGCTTCTCGACACTGAGTGTCATCACTGGCTCCGTACTCACGCGCTAACTGCACCTGTTGGAAAATGAATTAAATATATTGATCATTTTAGAACAAAAGGAAAACTTATAATAATAATAATAATAATAATATAATAAATAATAATAATAATAATAATAATAATAATAATAATAATAACAACACGTCTATTAACAAGGAATTAAAGCCCGTATCGAGTCCTATCCCAAAACAATAAAGTAAGACTTGAGAGTAACAATGGAAATAAGCTACAACGGCTCTTCAGGGTTATCCTATGTAAGCTGGATGAGGAGTTCATCTCTCTGGAGCAAATCCCACTCTCTTGAAACCAACCCAGAGTGGTAAGGCCACTTGCCCTTTCTTGCTTTCCTCAACTTCTCTACTCAAAATCGCTTCACTGTTCTATCCCACCTTAGTTCTTCCCCTTCCAGTTCTGCCATCGATCTTATGCCCTAACAAAACCAACAGATCAATATGTGTATTGTGTATCTATTGCAACCAATATATATGAGACCAATAGTCAGTAAAACTTTATGCAGAGGGAGTTTAAATGAAGCTTATTTTATCTCTGCAAAATAAAGTTGGTCAAATGAGTGTCGAGAATGAAAATTAAGAGAAATCAATTATGTTTATTAAAAAGACGATACAGAGAAAGAATTGAAACTGCTGGATATTGTAATGAGCAAAAATCCATATATGTATTGTGATTCTGATGGAGGTAACGTAAAATAAATTAATGGATGATACGACTTTGCGGGGGAAAGTGATTTGTGTGGAGAAGACAAAACTGAAGAACCGTTGGTGATTTATTTGTCATAAAACAGGAAAGTGACTCACAACATGGGTCTTTGACAGCGGATGACACAATCAATAATTCAACAACCAATGATGTACCTCTGCTGGGACCTAAAGTTTATTCAGCGCTCTATTACGATAAAAAAGGATTATATTCAGTCACCTCATACCACATGTCTCTCTCACACAAACAGAAACCAGGAAAGCCAAGCAGTGAGGTTTGTTTCTATTGTTTTTTTCTGTCTTCCCCAGGATGCAACCTACATGTTAATACCCTAGGTATTTATTTACTGTAAGATAAAAGGAACAAAAGGACTTAGGAGACCTGTCCATATGTCTCTCCTTGCCCAAAATGCGACCAGAGTTCCTAGAGTTGAGATGAACACGCTACCACTGTGCTGTTACGCTACCTTTGTTTATACGGTTATTCCCTCTAATGCTGATTTGACTTTGTTAGTGGAACTTCACTTCCCATCTGCAAGAAGGATTTCAACGACTATCTGCTTGTTTTAAGTTACCCATAGTTCAACTTCCCGCAGTACTCACCAATATGGCGCTGGCTTCTTGTGGATTCTGCAACAAGGCCACCACATCAGCCCACCCCCTACGGTGTGCACGGTCTTCTGCCTTGCACCTGTACTTGTCCTCAACATCAGGCGAGACGTCACGCTGCAGCAACATGCAGACGGTGCCTAGGTGACCTCTCTCGGCGGCCAGGTGGAGCAGTGTCGCCTCATCTTGGTCAAGTGTGTGAAGGCTGGCTCCGTGGGCTATGAGCAATTCTAAGACACGAGTGTGGCCTTCTTTAGCAGCGTACTGGGCCGGAGTGAAACCTAGTGAAGGACAAACTTAACCATCACACAATAATTACATTTCATAACTCACACTGCGGTGTGTCTAATGATGTAAAACTCTCTCACTGCTGATGTATCCAGTTTTGCATAAATAAAATACCCATGTAAAAATAAATATATACATTTTATTACGTTATCCAAGATTCAATTCCCCATAATTTTTTATCAGTATAAAAACTTAACCGGCTCCAAAAATTGTCCCAATAGACTGAAGTAATTGTTATATATTCAATATACTCTTTGAAGCGTGTGGGTCATTCTGTGTAACAATTGGTGGAGCCTCGATTAACTGTCTGTTCAGCTAGAAACAGATACACAAGCCTCGCAGCCTGAAGCACAACCACAGTTATGAAAAATCACTAAATTAACATCTACATATGTGACTACAACCCTCACATGTCAACCAGATTATATGACGTTTAACAGTTGCAACAGTGCATTCTAAATATGAACCTAAAATGCTCAAAGTGGTAATATAATATTATTGAATTTTAAATGGTATAGCTTGATGTAAACATGAAATATGCGATACTGACCGAGATAACAAGCCAGTTCTCCCGATCATAGCGATAATATTACATACTGACTCCCTGATAAGGAACACAATAAACACCTCGCTTGCTCTGTTTATTTTATCACAAGCTCGAATACCTCATAATAAAATCGAACTTTGAAAACCGATTACCAATATTGTCGTAAAAGAATTGCCCTTTCAGACCGGAAACAATAATAGAATAACAAGATAAGTGATGACGACGTATATTTGTAGCTATAATTCAAACCCTGCAACAACATATAGGTGAGTACTCACACACACAGACACACACAAACACATATATAAACACAGACACTCATAAACACACACACATAAACGCACACACATAAACACACACACACACACACACACACACACACACACACACACACACACACACACACACACACACACACACACAAACATACATAAATACACACACAAACACACACACAAAGCTTTTGACACAGTTCCACACAAGAGATTAATGCATAAGCTGGAGGACCAGGCAGGTATAACAGGGAAGGCACTGCAATGGATAAGGGAATATCTGTCGGGAAGACATTAGCGAGCATGGTACGTGACGAGGTGTCACAGTTGGCGCCTGTGACGAGCGGGGTTTCACAGGGGTCCGTCCTAGGACCAGTGCTGTTTCTGGTATGTGTGAATGACATGACGGAAGGGATGAACTCAGAGGTGTCCCTGTTTGTAAACTATGTGAAGCTAATGAGAATTCAGTCGGATGACGATCAGGTAGGACTACAAAGGGATCCGGACAAGCTGCAAGCCTGGTCCAGCAACTAGCTCCTGGAGTTTAACCCCACCAAGTGAAAAGTCATCATCAGAGAAGGGAAAAGAAGACCGCAGACAGAGTACAGGTTAGGGGGGCCAAAGACTGCAAACCTCACTCAAGGAAAAGGATCTTGGGGTGAGTATAATACCGAGTACAACCGAGGTGCATATCAACCAAGTAACTGCTGCAGCCTATGGGCGCCTGGCAAACCTAAGAATAGCGTTCCGACGCCTCAGTATACTATGTACAGTGTACACAGTATACTGGTGCTTTATACTGGAGTATACAGCACCAGTTTGGAATCCACACCTGGTCAAGCACGTCATAAGATTAGAGAAAGTGCAAAGGTTTGAAACAAGACTATTACCGGAGCAAAGGGGCTCCGGGACCAGTCTTGTTTCAAACCTCTCGTTTCTTCCCCCCCCTCCTACGAGAAGAGGAGAAAATCGATCTGACGACACTGGAGGACAGGGGAGATAGGGGGAGGGGGAACATGACAACGGCATATAAAATACTGAGAGGAATTGAAATGGTGGACAGGGACAGGATGTTTCAGAGATGGAACACAGCAACAAGGAGTTACAGTTGGAAGCTGAAGACTCAGATGAGTCAAAGGGATGTTAGGAAGTATTTCTTCAGCCATAGAGTTGTCAGGATGTAGAATAGTCTGGGAAATGATGTAGTGGAGGCAGGATCCATATATAGCTTTAAGAAGTGGTATGATACAGCTCATGAAGCAGGGAGAGAGTGGACCTAGTAGCGACCAGTGAAGAGGCAGGGCCAGGAGCTTTGAATCGACCCCTGAAACCTCAATTAGGTGGGTACAATTAGGTGAGTGCACACACGCCTAGTAACGACCAGCAAGGAGGTGGGATAGCTGACTCGACCCCCTGTAACCACAAATAGGTAGGTGAGTACACACATACACACACACAAATACAATACATACACATTTATATATGCAAAATTACATATTATGACACTCCTAAGCTTTCGTAACACAGGAGCTAATAAGAATTAAAGATCCATGGTGCAAGACCCAGAAAACCTTTCCATAACTGAACAAGTATGTGTCAATAATGAGAAATCATGTATGGCAAATCAGTATGCATGCGTCAAAAAAGAGTAAGTATGTGTCACAAAGTTGAGGGGAAGGATTAGCTGGGGTAAATGTATCGTAGCCAGCAACAACAAAAATCCAAATCCCAGGTACACCACTAAGCTTTTTATTTAGCTAAATCACTGTGGTTATTTTCGTCAGACTCAGGAACATGTTCATGCTGATGTGGTAACCCAGCACGACGAGGAATGAAATAGAAATCACTTGCCTTATGGTGTCCGAGTAAACACCAGTCAACGGGAGGTTCACACCTTACCTGTTACGTCTTTGGCATCGACGGGAGACCCACAACTCAGCATTAGTTCTACAAGGGCCTCATTACCAGTCTCTGCTGCCACGTGTAGCGGTGTTTTATCTGCAGCAGAAAAGTCAAATAAATTCTCTAATACAGAGGAACATTATCAGATATTATGTAGTAAAGTGTAAGTAGATAACTTTGAAATTCGTCCGTCTCTCTCAGCGGACGGAAGATCAAACCCCCAACCACTCATTGTGCTAACTGGCCTGGGCTACACACATTTATCTCTTCACATAATGTTTTAAGCCACATAGTGACGCAGTATTTATTTTTACCATAGTAATGCCTATTGAGTTTTACCTTGAGCATCAAATGGCACGATAATTATTATTAAGCTTATACATAAGTTTATTATGTCAGCTACGTAGTATATAGGAAGTACACACTTGTCCATGACCTGTAATACGGTTCATCATAAATACTAGTTAATTAAAAAATAGTTTCTTAGTCTTACAGACTACTTGGATACTCTTGTTGTACCTTGACTATTTTCTTTAAAATACGTGATTATTAAACACTATGTCTATGATATGTCAGGCCTACTAAATGTCATATTTCTCTGAATACTATGTCTATTAAATGCTAGGACCATCATATGTTATGCTTATTACATTTTTATGTCTTTTAATATCATATATATAATATATATATATATAATATATATATATATATATATATATATATATATATATATATATATATATGAAAGATGAGGTGAATCATAGAATTGATGAGGGGAAAAGAGTGAGCGGTGCACTTAGGAGTCTGTGGAGGCAAAGAACTTTGTCCTTGGAGGCAAAGAGGGGAATGTATGAGAGTATAGTTGTACCAACGCTCTTATATGGGTGTGAAGCATGGGTGATGAATGTTGCAGCGAGGAGAAGGCTGGAGGCAGTGGAGATGTCATGTCTGAGGGCAATGTGTGGTGTGAACATAATGCACAGAATTCGTAGTTTGGAAGTTAGGAGGAGGTGCGGGATTACCAAAACTGTTGTCCAGAGGGCTGAGGAAGGGTTGTTGAGGTGGTTTGGACATGTAGAGAGAATGGAGCGAAACAGAATGACTTCGAAAGTGTATCAGTCTGTAGTGGAAGGAAGGTGGGGTAGGGGTCGGCCACTAAAGGTTGGAGGGAGGGGGCAAAGGAAGTTTTGTGTGCGAGGGGCTTGGACTTCCAGCAGGCATGCGTGAGCTTGTTTGATAGGAGTGAATGGAGACAAATGTTTTTTAATACTTGACGTGCTGTTGGAGTGTGAGCAAAGTAACATTTATGAAGGGATTCAGGGAAACCGGCAGGCCGGACTTGAGTCCTGGAGATGGGAAGTACAGTGCTTGTACTCTGAAAGAGGGGTGTTAATGTTGCAGTTTAAAAACTGTAATGTAAAGCACCCTTCTGGTAAGACAGTGATGGAGTGAATGATGGTGAAAGTTTTTCTTTTTCGGGCCACCCTCCCTTGGTGGGAATCGGCCAGCGATTGATTAAATCTGCAGGAGAGTCGTTAAGCTTACCTTCCAACTGTACACCTCCTGTTAAGAATACACAGCTGTCGATGTATATACAACGAGATACACACACCTGTTGGTATATATGTATACCTTCGTCATCCTTAATGTATAAAGATTTGCCTGCCTACCTTGGTCGTCCTTGGAATCAACTTTGCTACCCATAGCAACAAGGAGTTGCACCATAGCCTCGTTCCCAGACACCGTAGCCAGGTGCATCGCCGTCCTTCCTACAAGGTGAAAAGCAAAATAAGAGGATCGATCCTCCAAATGTCGTACTGTCGAAGGCGGTAAAGAAAATACGTATTGCAAAACAAGCTGTTATTAAGGCAACGTTTCGCTTTGTAGAGCTTTATCAAAGGATGACTTATATTTTAATATGCTAAAGCTGTACACAAAGTGAAACGTTGCCTCGATAATTTTTTTTTCTGCAAGCTATGTCTTTGTTATTAATGTTAAACAATAGTGACAAGTTGATGAATGAGACAGGTGCACCAAGTGGGCAGGTTATAGTCTCTGTCTCGGCTTCACACTGATCAAGGCTGAGACTGAACACCTATCAAAGCTGAAGGACTGATTACCTCATCTTTCACTAGTGGTCTCCATTAAGTAATCTCTGTATTGTATTGAAAAACCCCACTGGATGGCGAGCCCTCTTCATTATAAAGATAAACAGGTGTTGCGCATGTGCCTCATTCATTACCTTTAGAATTAGGAGTTAGATAGGAGGCATGACCAAAGAGAAAAAGTGATTTTTTCTGGAGGGTTTTATTATTATTATTATTATTGTTATTACAGAATCATTGGAAAACGGGAGTTGTGGTGAGTAATCTGGATCGATCCGAGGAAAAGGAAGAGTAGATCGGATCCCTTGAATCGTGACTTCACCCAAAATCAAGGCATTCCTTTTAAAGGGAGTATAAAAAATACAGGATGTCAGTCTCGCGAAGGACCGCGCCTCCACCTTTTCTTGTGCTAGGTGACCCACCCGCATTCACAGAACACACAAGAACCAGGGAACACAACAGTAGGCTTATTGGCCCATGCTAGACAGTTCTATCTCATATCCACTCATATCTCCAGGTAAATACAAGTTCAACCTTATTTAAAGCTATTTCAAGCCGCTTACCTCCATGGAGACTAGACCTAAGCTCAAGATTGGCGTTGTTGTCACAGAGGACCCTGGCGAGCAGAGGTTGGAGGAACGGCGGCATGCTGCAGGGGTGTAACTAAGGCTCCTTCCTCGCCGTCTACAGGTGCCCGCCTCTAGCGCCCACGACACCGCATCAGACTCACCCTTTCCGGAAGCCGACTCTGATAAAAAAAAATGTTTTGACATTTGAAGTTGTTCGTTGGTCAAAAAAGGGCTTAAATCCTATAGTTTATACGAGGGTCATTAAGCCCTGCATGTCGGGCTGTTCACCCCCAAATCATGAATACTTAAATCCTTAAGGTAAAAATTAATGGGAACCCCTCAATATACACCTCACTGTGTACTATTATATCTGTGTTTACGCGATATATCATATTTAAAATACTTATATTTCTGTATACCCTCGAGAGTATTTTGCACCAAAGATGTGCATGTTTTCTGGGTTTTCTATAAAACTGAGAGCTTATTTTAATCCTTGTTTTTAGCAATTAAATTATTCTTGACTGGTGGTGGACAGGTGACATGCAACCTTCATGAACCTCGAGTCGTCAGTATCCCTCAAAAAAATGATTTACAACCAGGAGCTGTTAACCTAACCACAGCTCATTTCAAAGTCCAGCCTTAACATACTGCCACACCTTCAGGATGCCACCCAAAAGTCGACAAAAAACCCAGTCCCCTATTTACTGCTAGGTGAAAAGGGGCTATAGATTTATATGGGGATAATAAGCACACGAGGCCTAAAGGGGAAATAACACACTTGTACACTAGCAAGAATACTTTAATCCTCAGATAAAAGGGTTAAACTGGAAATATGCAGACAAAGATGACGAAATTTATTCCTCTCATCAGATCTTTTTCTATTGAATTCAGGGTGTTTAAAAATTGAATCTGTGCTCTCTGGAAAGACTTAGAAATTAAGGGAAATGTGATTAAAGTGTAAAAATGGAAAACTGGAATAAAGATGATAACAATAAAAGTGGTGAAAGTGTCTAAACCCAAAACGGATTTGCAGCAATAGATACAAACTGGAGAAATTTAGATTTAGAAAGGATGTAGGGGAAATACTAGTTTGGTACTAGAGTTTTAGACGAAATGGAAAAAAACCTTACAAGTAGCATCATTGTTGAAGAACTTTAGGTAGCTTTAAACCCTTAAATGTCCAAATGTATATATACGTTTTTTTCAACATCTGAAAGTACGTAAAAAAATGTAATCTTCTTTTTTGTTTTACATTTGAAAACGTGTAAAAAAAACTTTTATCTACATTTTTTTTGTTACATTTGAAAATATGTTAATAAACGTAGATCTACTTTTGTATCAGTACGAATTTGAACGTCGATTTGTCTGGACCGTTTAAGGGTTAAATATAGGTTAGACGGGTATATGAGTGGATGTGGGTGGATGTGAGTTAAACCTGCCTAGAATGGGCTCGCTGCAGTGTTCCTGAGCTCACTACATATGGTGGGTAGAATATTTTACATTTATACAAAAGCACATACATTGTATACAACAGTGCATACATGTATGCACACATCATATGTATACATTATAACAAATAATGTAGAATAATGCTAGGGTAAATATGAAGGAAAATTTGTGTGCATGTTAATGTGACGGATGTGGGTTGGTTGTGTTTAGGTGTTTGTTCCAGAGAAATGCAGACGATAACACCGCTTACCAGCCTCTCTCCACACTATACTCTGGAGTAGTAAGTGATCTGTTGTGCTAAGAATATGTGGAAGTCACATAACTACCCGACTCTCTGACGATCTTTAGTCCTCAGTGTGTTTATAGTGTTTGTCTAGTTTTCTTGCAGCTGTTCCCCTCAAGGGAGGTTCCTTGACGCTGGTGAAGGGCTCTTGATCTAGGGAATTGGATCTGTGCTCCAGTTCCCTGAATTGAGTCTGAATACCTTCCATCCCCCCCCCCCAACATGCGCTGTATAATCCTACGGGTTTAGTGCTCCCCCCATGATTATAATAACTAGCTGTGGCACCTCAGCTCTTTGAAGTAAAGTTATACTTTATTTTGAAAAAAAATAGATACTTTTGCAGCATTTGGTAATCTTTATTTTGGAGATGTTTGGCCAACAAGTGTCTTCCTTAGTTCGGTACAGAGATGAATGTGGAAGATGAGAAGCAGTTTGAGGTAATCAGTCCCACAGCCTTGAGTCGACTCAAGGCTGTGGGACTCATTACCTCAAACTCCTCATTTTTCACCATTTCTCTCCGTACCGGACTGAGGAAGCCACTTATTGGCGAAACTTTTCCACAATAAGGATTACCAAATGTTGCAAAAGTATCTAATTCTTCAAGTTGTCGGTTTTCTAAATCATTTACATCATACTATATTTTCTCTCACCCATCTTCGAAGCCTTCAACTTATCGAGGGAGTAAACTACCTGTGATGGTAACCACTGTGCGTTTCTTCCCCAGCTGAATGTTTCCAGCAGGTCACTGAAACTTTGTGGGATAGAACGAGCTGTTTTGACTTTGGCAAAAAGTCAGTGAATTAATCTACAATCACTTTATATCCTGTGTCTGTGGAAATCAACCTGCGTATGTGTGACTGCCATTCTGGGAGCCATTCCTCTGTCTGCTCGTCACCTTGTATCTGAGACCTTGGAATAACCTCAATTTTGAAAGGGGGGGCCGGTAAGCCAGTGGAAGGCCTTGGTCAGATGACCAAAAGGTCTAGTGGCTGGTCATCATATGATTAACACCCGCGTCATGAAAAAATTGTCCCGTTTCCTGACGAATCTTGTTTATAGCCACGAAACAGACACCTTAGTGTTTCAAGATTACTTATTATACAAACCTAAGAAAATACAAAGACGCACAACTAGAGTTAATAAAATCATGACTTGATAAAACTCTTCTAACGGAGAGGGAGCTGCATCACCCATAGGAATTGGCCGATATTTTTTAAATATAGCAATCTAATAATGAAATATTACATATATATATATATATATATATATAAAATATATATATATATATATATATATGTATATATATATATATATATATATAATATATATATGTATATATATATATATATTATATTATATATATATATATATATATATATATATATATATATATATATATATATATATATATATATATATATATATATATTCTACAATGCTTGTCAATATTGTAGGCAATACATTATTCGGCTCAATACGCATTTGTTATTTTTATTCTTCCTACATGATATTTGTTGTATAGTGATATTTTATTTGGATATGTAATTTATTGAAATATTAGATCAGGCATATAGCTGCCCCCGGCACACTAATCTCCCCGACCTCATAAAAGTTTCACCTTTGACATAGAATTCTCTTTGACTACATATTGCACCCCACTATTATTTTTCTTTTCCATTGATCTGGTTTACCCTACTAACCCTACCCTCGCACACTCCAGTACATCCACTCCTTCATCACCTCTTGCCACATTCCTTTTTTCCTAATCCCTCCTCTGTGACCCTCTCGCGTTAGCGCTTATTTGATTCTTTTATTAGAGCACATGTATAAATTCCTAAGATCAGTATGCAAAGTTAAATTTAATATCTGTAGCGGAGGACACGCGGAAGGCAGTTTCGAGGACTTGACTGCTGCAGGGCTAATCATGAGAGAACTGCCTGCAGGTAGGCCTAAACATGAGAAATATTGTGGACTGAAATTGGTGTAATTATTTTATTATTACACATTAATGGACTGGAGGGCAGCACAACTTTCTTGCTCTATTCTCATTATCAAATCTCACCACAAATTTCCCCTCATCGACAAACCCCACTCACACAACAAAATATTTGCTAACCTAAATACTTTGCTTACTTGCCCTTTACTCACGAACAAACTCCATCACCAGCACACTACTCCTGAAGGTCTCCATTCTGCACTTCTTCGCAGTTCATCGTTTAAAATTCCATCACAAATTCAGAGTAAAATACAAGAGCTACTCGTTCTCCAATGGTGTGGTGGTGCTACACTTCAGCTGTGCGTAATTTCTTCGGCTGATAAATGGTGTCCTCACTATCCACTGATAAAACAGTTCCCTGATAGTCACGTTTTATACGCGAACTGGTAGGGTGATTATTCTGGCCTCTTATAGAAAAATTTCGTATGTGTATATAGGCGCACCTGACAAGTTTGCCGAAGACTCTACAATTATCGTAAAGGGTTCTTGGAATGGAGATATCAAGGTGAAGTTGACACACTTGTAAGGATGTGATTATTGTCAGACTGAGATGAGCGATGGAGCCGTGCCAAGCCTGTTCACGTCTTGTAGGTCTGCCGCCGAGTGACGAGCGGACAAAGTGGATCACTGCCCTTGTGTATGCCTATGCACGTCACACTAAGCCAATAAGGATGACGAGGATCTCGTGGGTCTCTAAAAGCACAGGGATGATACTAATTGCTATGCTATAATTAATACTGGGAATACAGGATCTGCAACTATGCTGACAGCTCGGTCATGTTACGTATGTCGTCCGACAATACACTACTATCTATAGGCTGGATAAATTAAAAAAAAAAAAAAAAAAATCCCAGGCAGGCGGAATTGGGTGATTTCTATACAATAACAAATTCTTATAATCTTAGAACTATGGATGGTATCATAATGGACCATTACTATAGAGGGTGTTAAATAATGCATACAAACTATAAGAAACTATTTCATTATACAATATGGATGGACTTGATCGATCGATCTGTATTCATGCACTCTACTGATTCTGAGGAAGATAAATTATATAAAGAAGTGTTTAACAGAAAGGCAGATTCGGTGCACACAAATCTAGACTGTTAATTCTCAGAATACGGAGGAACCGGAACACGAAAATTTCTGACAACTGATCAGCTAATAATAAAAAAAAAAAACACATCAGTTGACAATTTCATCATCTCGGAATCTAATTATGCAGGCTGTTTACACTTAAAACCCAAGTCTGCGAGGGTGAGGTTACGTATTGCAGAATGGTTATAATCTCTGGGAGGATCGAATTCCTCTGAATGGCTAAACACATGCCTTGACGATGAGAGAGCTGAACGAGTATTGTACAAAGATACAACTTAC